ATATATATATATATATATATATATATATATATATATATATATATATATATATATATATATAAAAGTATACATAAAAGTAGAATTTAATTGCTGAAGAGGTGATTGGAAATCCAAAAACAAGAAAAAAAGTTGGTATAAACGTAGGTCCGAAAATGTTTTCGAGTTATGGCCATTTTTGTGTTAAAATTTAAAATTGCTTTGCTTTCGAATTTTTTTGTCAATATTGAAAGAAAAGATAGTTTTTATGAATTTTATGACATAATTAATGTCAAATAAAAGTTACGGGCTGCTTTAGCACAGGATGCACCATGTGGAGGTACCTCAAGCAAAGGAAGCTAAGTGGACTGTATCTCCGCGCGGTGCATCCTGGTAGTATTAAAGCAGCCCGTAACTTTTATTTGACATTAATTATGTCATAAAACTCGTAAAAACTATCTCTTTTTTAATTTTTGACAAAAAATTCGAGAGAGAGAATATGAGATGCATATACATGAATATATATAAATCGTAACGCTTTAACTCCGGCGACGCCGCGTGTTCGTTTGTTGCAGCCCAATGCATCGCGCCGCTCGGCATGGAGTCCGGTGCGATCCCGGACGCGGATATCAACGCCAGTTCCACCTTCGACACCGGAAACGTCGGTCCCCCACTGGCACGGTAAGCGACAGTTTTTCATTCGGAGAGTTTGATGGCAGGGGAAAAAGGGGACGGGTGGTACCGCGCCGCCACGGCCATCGATCACTTCGTATCTACCGGCGCCTTCTGTTGCGCGTTCGATGCAGCCGCGATCGACGACGCGACGCGACGCATCATGACGCGACGCGGCGCGACCTGGCGCGCGAAAACATTTTTATCGCGAGCCCGTGACGTGTCCTCGGCGATGTTCAACGACAAACCAAGTCCCACGGGAGAGCCGACTCGCGATCCAAGAGATGACGGGAGATATGCGCGTTATTTTGCTACGTACAATCGCGGAGATGAATAATTATATAATTAAGATAAAACAAACAATTATTGATCCTCCCTTATAATATGAACACTATCAATATGATCAGATAAATCTACTCGACGAGAATTTCCATTTGAGCTAATGCTCAATGCAGGTTACAAAAGAATTTCAATACCTTCTGGTGGGTAAACTAAAGCTCGGTCATGACCAGATCGATTTTAATTTGCACCTATACCTTCAGTTTTTATAAGAGAAAACGTGGTTTTTTCATTTTTTTGTACATATCACCAGAGAGTGGTCACTTTGGATCATCAAAGTTAGAAAAAATGTTCCCTTATAATCTATGTTGAGAAATAGCGCAAACGAAAACTCATTAAATAGATTCCTCTGCTCGTGGTGAGTAATGCAAAATGATCTATTAATACATATTTACAGATAAATAATTACGACGCTTTCTGTCTCATAAACTATGAACCACAGACATATAATATTGTCCCTTTCACAGTAGAAATATAAACGCCTGGGCTACTTCAGAGCCAGATTCCCCTGTGTCTTCGCTATCCCCGCTATCAATTCCCCACGCAATCCTCTCCTCCTTTCTTTTGCGTAATAGAAACGCAAATCGCGTATAATTGATGAGTCCGTGAGACTTGGCGTGGCGCGGAACACCTTGTGCTCGGCGTCAACGGGCCGCTATATTCTTTTGTTGCCTTGCATTGTAACTCGTCTCGTGATGAGAGTAATTTTTGCGGCGTAATAAATGATGATTGCCGGGGGACCGAGTATCCCCGCCCTTCAAACTTATGATCGTATCGTTTTTAATATCGCGAAGTAACGACGCGAGCACCGGTCTCCTCTCCGTCGTTAGGGACGTTTTAAAAGAGAAACAGCGGGACCACGGGGGCACAGGGGAAGGCAAGGGAAGGAGAGCGGTGGTTTCGGTGTCGACAAGGTAAATACATCGGCCGCCGTGTGGAAGGGTTAATCGTGACGCCTCCGCGCGACGCGCGCGCGCGAGGCGTGAATACTAAAAGCGCGGTTAATACATAAAATCCGGAATATCAGGTTGCGCCGGGCCAAGGGAGAGAAAAAGAGAGACGTTATTATACGCGGCGGACAAAGAAAGCAGGCCGAACGAATGTAATTATTTCTAATCTTTCGGCCGCTTAACGGGCCGCGAAAGCCGGCTCTAAACGGATATTAGTTGGCGTTTCTTATCGCCTCACCGTAGTGAAAACGCAAAGACGTAACGTTGGTCTGTGAGTGGCGAATGTAGGACGGACGGAGCAAGAGAGAAAGAGATAGACAGAGAGAGAAAGCTCACGGCGAGGCTAATTATAAATTAACGCCTATCCCCTCGGTCGAGAGAATAAATTGTCGCTCGCAACAACGTGTAATTAAGTAATCCGCGTGCCTTTCCGATAGGCTATCGCTTCTCGTTTGGCACTCGCTCGCGCGAAATGAATATTTATAGCGCCGTTAAATTGATCCTTCTGCTGCAGGCGAGGCAGAGAGAGAGAGAGAGAGAGAGAGAGAGAGAGAGAGAGAGAAAGTGAGCGAGGAAGGAGAAGGGGAGAGAGAAAGGGAGAACGGTGCGTCGACGATTTGTTCTTCCTCTAGCTCCGAAAGTGAGTTTATTTTTTAATCGCGTCTGACGAGAATCATCTGACGCGAATTTACGGCCGATCGACAGTGGATTCACGCGCGCGCTCGCCATCCTGTCCAGCCGTTAATAATTTCCGCGTCGTTGTCCATCGTGTCCCTTAACGCTCGCGCTAGCGGTTATTCGGCAGCGACGCCGACGGCATCGACAGTTTTTCCTCGAAAAACTCGGAAAGCCCATTGCCCATTGTCGCCCTGACTGCTCCCCCCCCCCCCCC